CAACATTGCAATGCAAACAACTTTTGCCTGAGGGTCTTGGCGAAATTCCCAACCAAATTTGAGATAAAAATAAAAACAATGGCGGTACTACAGGCTTCTGAAAAGTTTTGTACCCTAAAACTCGTTCTATAACGTACGTACGTTGTATTCGAATACAACAACGAACCCCGTACGTTGTATTCGTATACAAGGTACATACGTTTTTTTCGGGTTAAGAAAGTAGCTGTGCGGCTATGGCCGCCTCCCTTCCTCAGCACAGTGATGCCCAGCCCGGGCTCTAGCACCTGCTACTCGCAGACAGCGCACAAGCCCCCAGCAGCACTTCCACACTTCTTGCGAATGAGCAATCTGTTCGAAATGTGGCTGGCCAGTCCTTATATTGACTTGGACTGGGCCTTGACTCGTCCCAGCCTCTGCTTCTCTTGGCTTGACTTGGAACCCGTACCACCTGCTGGCGGCCTGCTTGATTCCGGCATATTGAGGCCCGTGAGCTTTGACTGTGGGTCGTGACTCTTGCCTGTGGGATGTGGCTTTTGACTGTGAGACGTGACTTTTGCCTATGGGATGTGACTGTTGACTGGGTACCTGTTGGACCAAAAGACCTCTGGGCCGACGTAACCTTTCTGAAACTGGCCGACCTGGCCTCTTTCAGCCTGGGGACCTTGACCCTGAGATTCGAATTTGGGGTCTGCATCGTGAAATGCCTTTCAGAGAGAGTAGGGGTTTCTTTGAAAACACACTCATATGAGCCTGTGCGTGTTCAAGCACAAATTCCTTTGGAGAGCAGGTTAACAGAGGCCCAAAATTTCAGGCAACTTGTCATGCCAAATTTGGCACACACAGCAACCTTGAACAGAAAAAAAAAAAAAAAAAACATAAAATTTGACCCCCAAAGGGCCCAAACCCTATTTTCAGTTTTGGACCCGTTAGTCAGGAGCTGAAAGTGGGGGGGTCCCTGTTACCCACTTGTGTGGCAGTGAGGAGGTGGTGGTGGTAGGAGGATGGGCCGCAACAGCTGTTGCGGAGCAGCAGATACAACAGCTGGAGCAGATGAAGCATTAGAAGAGTGGGCCATGCACATCTGCAGGAGGTGGGGTATAAGCAGCAGGAGGAGGAAGGGTATCTCTCTTCTCATGTAAATCTGCAGTAGGTGGAGTATATGACAAGGAGTCGAATGGGGAGAGATGCGGGGGGGGGGGGGGTCTTCTTGGGAAACCTGTCTATTTCTCCTTTGCTCCTGATTCGTGATCGAATCACTATCCGATATCGATATCAAGAAATTTTGCAGTTGTAGGTTATGAAATTCATTCAGTGTTTAGACTTCTGAGCCATAATCCCAAACTCCACAACGTCTCCATGGGACACCAGGAGAGCTACTGCTTAAAACACCATAGAAGCTTCCCCATTTCTTCCATGTGCTTCAAAA